AAATAAATATTGTTCAAATAATGCTTGTAGAGAAAACAGGTATTTGCAAGTAGATTGACTGGTGACCCTGGGCAAGAGACCAAATTGTTTCATCCTTCTTACTTGCCACAGCTAGCATAATAATACATAGCAAGCAATAATTCCAGTTGTAGTCCCTGCTCAGCCATGAAACTCACTGGGTCACCTTGGACCAGTCACTGACTTTCAGCCGCACTTACTTCACAGGGTTGTGAGGATAAAATAGAGAGGAAAATTGTGTAAGCCACCTTGGATTCCTTGCAGGAACAAGATGGGAGAAATATAATAAAGTTGCATAGATTTTTCCTGGGTGGACTTCAGAGACTGCAGGAAATGTATAGGTAGACTACCTATGTTTTCCTGGCAGTTCCCTTTTTGTCTTAATGCATTGAGTTGAACTTGAAAGGGCATTGGTTAGAAGAGACCCAATAGCTGGTTCCTTGTGGATAGCATCACTCACAGTGCCAAATCATTACTTAACTATCTCAGCTTTGAAGCAGAGTTGGGAATCCTACATTTGGCCCATGCTTGGCCTTAAACTGTGAAGGTATTGCTTCTTTCTTAAGTTTTAGGTGCTTGCTAGGACAAAATTTGTGAAACCTAGGTCTGATTAAACCCCTTCCTTGCCAAACCAATTACAATTCTGTCTTTTTAATCATGCATTTCTTCAGAAACTGTAGCTATACAATTGTTCAGGCAATTAGAGATCTTGAGTACTCTCTGAACAATTTTGTATAGATTAATTAATTTAAATGAAAGATTTAAGGTTGTAATTCATTCTGTTCTACTAAAATGAAATGGAGCTTGATTTTGGGTTGCGTCTTGTCTGTATGTATAAAACATTTATATAAATTCATTCTTAAAAGTTTGAGATTTGGAGACCTGATGAGCAACCTTTTATCTTAGGAAATGAGACTGGAAGTTGAACATTTTTTATTAGGGATCCCATATTGAATATTGTCCCTGAAGTTTTTCTAGTTTGGGGTAAAAACATTTGATTTGGCCAGATTTATTCCACTTTTCATCTGTGCGCGTTTAGAGGCCAAGGCCAAGATCATCCACACTTGTATCACTATGTATGAGTATGATAGACACTGAAGAAAGCTGACAGAAAGAAAATTGATGTGTTGGAAACATATTGCTGGAGGAGAGTTTTGCGAATACCCTTGACTGATGAACAAGTCAAGCCAAAACATGCCCTGGAAGCAAAACTGACAAAACTGAAGCTATTGTACTTCGGGTACAGCATTTGAAGGCAATAGGGAAATCCAAAGAAGGGGAAGACCAAAAACTCAATGGATTGCTTCCATAAAGGAAGGGATGGCCTTGAGTTTATTAGAGCTGAGCAGGGCTATCAGTGATGGAGACAACTTAGCAACAATGATGTTTTAATAGTTCGTTTCATTTTTAACATTATGGTAGTGTTTAAACTAATGCTCTGAAAGTATTTTGGCTAAAAAATGGGGTAATAAAATGGTAAATAAATTTCAAATTTGCAATCTGATTTTGTGTGGTTATTGAGATTGTGCTCTTTAAGCTAGTGTAGTGGTGAAATGCATATCATCCCCATCAAGAGTGTCTTACTCAAGCATATTACTATATTACTAAGATAACTCACTCTTGTGTAAGTTAGGATCATCACTCTGTGAGTTGTCCATTTTTAGGCATTTGCTAGTGAAGAAATTTGGGACATGAGGACCCTGATTAAATTCATGGAAATAAATGCTGTGGGATGTTAATCCTTTTTGTCAAGTGTAACTCAGTAGAGCTTGTCAGAAAGAGAGGTGCTAGGGCAAGAAGCAAAGAGTGAGGTGTATGGTGAAAATCCCTTAGATGGAAATACTGTCCTCTCAATGCTTGTTAAATGGCATTGTTTCTGTTTACCTATATGGTATACCTAATGAAAGCATGTGCTTTATGGGTCTTCTGAAAACTTTTTTCCTCAATTCATTTAATCTTCAACAATGAGAAAAATGGGGGGGGGTTTTAAGAGAAGAAAGTAAATGCAATACATGTTTCTGAACAAATACATAGCAATCTAAATAAAGTAAGATGCATGCTTAATATTGTTGCATACCTCCTGTGTCCCTATTTCAAGTTATGGAGTTAGTCAGCTTGAATAAAATACTATCTTGTTCATCAATGGTCGCTGATCTGTTTGAAGCCTATTGGCTTTATGTTATATATGTTATATCTATTCTCGCCTGCCTGCATGGTGATAAGATACTAAGAGTTAGGGGTGTGTGTGTATGGGCCAACCAGGCTGTTGAACTACAATTCTTACCAACCTTGACCTTATGGCAGGGGGTGCTGTGTATTGTAGTTCTGCATATCTGGTTGCCAAAGCCTGCTGTAGGGAGTTTCCAGGGGAAGGAGTTCCGTAATTGCATGTAGCTGCAAATGAACTTTAGTGGCTGAGAACAATTGGTTCCTTTCTTTATTGCAACGTGTTTAGAATGCATAACAATATTTTTTGTCTGGTGCAGCAATAATGCTAAAAAAATAAAGTTAAAAGATGCTAAAAAAGTTTGAAAGTTTGATTAAATTTTAAAATTGTGTATGTAAGTTGAACATAGCCTATAGGAAAATTCTGTACTTTCATAAGTGGATGAACTTCATCAGCAGCATGCTGTGTGAGGCGGGAATGTTTAAGTGCCTGTCACTCTAGTGTACTCTGTCCTTTGTAAACCTAGGATTTATGCTGAGTACAACAGTGGAGGAATTTACGGTGTTTACCCTTAAGAATTTGCTGTGTCTGTGGTCAACCCCAGTGTCTTTGCATAGTAGCTTACATTATTACAGTCAGGCTGAACCAATGCCAGCATCAAATGACTTTCAAACTTTGCCAGTACAGTTTTAATATAGCTTCCTTGGAGTTTCCTTTTAAGTGCTTTGGTTGCTGCAGAATCTAGCTATATTGGTGGTGGTGCTAGAAAACAATCACCGAATCAACAGTGTTGGGGAGCTGGAGATTTTTTTGATCAGTTTTTGCAACTAGGCCAAATGAGGGAAATGGTTGGGTAGTAAAATGTCAGAGGGCTTGGGAAATCCAGTTACTTCAGTGCTGTGCCAAAGCAGAATGTCAGTTGCTACCTTGACTCTACTAAGAATTACAGTTTGGCTTGATCTACTTAGTCTTGAATGAAGCAACTGTAAGTGTGTGTCTGGGGGTGGGGCGGTGGGATGGAAGAACTCTATGTATGCTTAAGAAATGGCTTTTGACTTATCCATTCGTCAGAGCGTGGCAGTAATGTCACTCTGCATGCTCTAGAATTGAATTGAGTTTGTCTCTGCCCACTATTACTTGGGAGCTTATCTTTTTTTCTTTATTCTTTTTTCCTTTTTTCCCTTCTGTTTTGTTTTTGCTATTCTCTGTGGCTGTGGCAGTGGCTCATTCTTGAGATGCCTTCCTCCACAATGAAACATTCTCACACACAGCAGGCTGTATTAGCTTCTTACTTGCCTTCTTGCTGTTGATTGGTGAGCCTTTTTTCTTCACTTCCCCAGTACTTTTGATTTATTACTTCAAAAGATGCGTTCAGATATATACAGAGTACATGTTTTGTGTTAATTTTTCTGTGTGGGTGGGTACAGGGGATCTTGATATGAGAGAAATTCAAGAGCCTGTCCCATAATATGCATTACATCTTTCTTCCAGGCAGCAATCTGAGAAGGAGTAACGTCTGTGTTGAGGGTGGTACCTCATGCATCCAGAATTGCATGATGTGAAAGTATTTCGAGTCTGCAATAGGACATCCTCAGAACTCTAAAAAGCCCCATTCAGACGTTCCCTGATCAGAATATCTATCTAGTTCCTCTTGAGAATATCACATTTTAAAATCTCTGTATAACCAAACCTAAACATATGTACCTGTAATTTTTATATTCAATTCATTTTATCCAGTTAGGTACTTCTCAGTTGCCTGTGCCACAGGCATCCAGAAATCTTCCCTTCCTAGAATTGTGTGTGGGTAGGCATGGGTAGTTGTCCAACAACAATGAGCCACAGTGAACTGGTACTCTATAGTCTGGATAATTCTTAGTCAGATTCTGATAATCTATACTGTTATTTAAAATGATTCATTTAAAACCCTTTATGTGGATACCCCTCGGCTGTAGTGTAGTGTAACCTTGAGTTTTATATATCTTTGCATTTTGGTTGCATGATGATTATTGGGCTGAATAAGCAGCAATAAAGTTATGTTTGCAGTGCACACAGCTGGTCTCTATGCTGTTTTCTCGAAAGCAGTTTTGATGTGTATAGCATACACACATACCAGAAATAGCTCTGAGAAGGTGGAATGGCATGCATCAGTGCACTCACTTGAAGGATTGTTGGATCAAGGCTGCGGGTCTTTATAACATACAGTATTTTTTACAATTAATTTAATTTGATCTAGCTATGAAAATATTATATGTACTTCAGGTTTCAAGTGTATCCCGTCATTTTATTTAATTATTTCTTGGATAAAAACATGTGACTACAAGTTATTGTTTTTATTACACTTTGTAAATTGATCTTTTAATTTATAGTGATGGTAATGATTTCCTATTTGCCATTATAGCAATGCTGTGAGGAGAGTCTTATCCTGTTTTCACAAATATGTTAGTTCGTTATTTTGTGCATGAGTAATGCTATATACGGGGCATGCAAGTCTCTCTTGGTCTTAATGGAACTGAATGTAACAATTATCTTACATTTTCTGGGTTTTGACTTTATGTATAATCTGTATGTCTTCTCAGTATCCTTAAGAATGAATAATTTACCTGGAATTATCATCCAATAGCAAATACTGAAGATGTTTCTAGAACATGAATGGATTAATGCTAAATTGCGATTATGCATAGCACCAGCTTCTCCAGTGATTCATAATGGCTCTCAAGATTGGCTCAGTGATGTTTCTTCACTGCTGTGCAGAGGGAACCAACAGTTTCAGCATATAATGATACGAACAACATTTCTTTTCTTTTTTTCTCTGCAGGTCAACTTTGTAGTGTGCCAACTGTTTGCCTTGCTTGCTGCTGTCTGGTTCCGAACTTACCTTCATTCAAGCAAAACTAGCCCATTTATAAGGCATGTTGTTGCCACCCTTTTGGGCCTTTATCTTGCACTTTTTTGTTTCGGATGGTAAGTAATTTTCAAGTTATAATTCATCAAAATATCCTGGGCATCTGGTTCTCCTTGACTTGCTAGTCTATTACAAGGAATTGTAGGGGAGATTCAGCCTTGTGTTCCTGCATCCAGAAGAGCTTCACCATGTCTGTACTCTATTTTCTGGCAGAGAGTAAGACACAGAAGCAGGAAATAAAGACATTCAAAGAAACAGGAAGATAGGCAGCTGTACTGCATGTCAGCCACTATTAAAGTCAAATTGTAGTGTCCAGAGGTGCTGTGACATTGTTGGTATCCATTACTCTCCCTAGAACAGGAGGCAGCCAATCACTCCAGTTCTCCCTTGCCTCCCCTGACCAGGTATCACCTGGATGAACATGGGGGAGAAAGACAAAGAAGCACCCCCCTTCTTACAGTACATCCAGGAATCAACTCCAGAGGTTTAAATTACTAAGCAACCATCATTACAAAGAAAACAAGTTACAGTAAAAACTTGTGGAAAATAAAGAATAAAAGAACATAATGTACTAACTTGCAGATACAACTTTGGCACAAACAATTACCTCATAAGGCTTGTACCTCTGATTCCAAACAACTCCCATCTATCTAACCTGGTGCAGGGAGATGCAAAGTACTTCCTAATTGACAGAAGATCCATAAGCACATGACACCAGTTACCTCCTCCTGATCAGGTTACTTACTGCTCAAGACCTAAAAGATGCAGGACCAGCAGGATCAGTAATCATCCTGGCCAGTATAAATAGATGCCGAAAACAAGTTTGTTTTTTGTTTAAAACATTTATATCCCATCCTACATGAGAAAAATATCCCAGGATGGCTTACAAAATTATAACAACAAATAACAAAATTTTAACAGTAACAATAATAACCACCATAAACAACAAAAAATAATATCAGCAAAAGTCCAAATCAAAAGCAAAAACAAAAAGTGACTGTGGGTGTTAAAATCAATTAAAATTTCTTATTCTTAAAATGATGGGTAAATAAAAAGTTCGGAGTCATAGGTTTGCTTCCACTTGTGCTATTGATGTGCTAGTATAAGCCAATGCCTGTGCAGTATAACTAGCACAACAGTAAAAAGGTGGTGATTTGTTGTTGAAATGTGAAGCGCAAAATGTTTGGATGTGCTACAGCTGCTCTGGATAGGTTTAGTCTCCCCTGCATTTCCTTAGAGATGGAAAGCTAGCTTGTCAAGGACAATCAGATGCCCAGATCTTCTAAGTTGCAAGAGTCCTTTAACACTTATGATACATTTCTAATGTAACAAATATTTTCCAGAATAAGCAAGTGCTTCAACAATTTAACTGTTATTTTTCCAACCCATGTAGCATTTGTTTTGTTTACAAAACCACATCATAAAATAGCTTATGTGCATGCCTGAGCCATTAGCTACACAGAAGACCACTTTGGACTTCATGGTCAAGCAGGGTTCTGTGGTAACTGTGGCTTATTGTTTTCAGACGGCAAGCAGAAGCAGTTCAATAGACCACATACTTTGCTTCAGTGATTTGCTTTGTATGACAGAAGGAGCTGGAACTCTGGCTTGTCTCTCTCTGCCAGGAAGCCAGAAACATAACTTTCTTGGGTTCCATAGAACCCTGGAGTAGCATGGCATGTGATCTGGGCTGTAAAGTGTAAATGCCGTTTATGACCCAAATCATCTTAAGGTGTGTACACAAAGTGATTTCTATGGATTTAAAGGGGAGAAGCTTCCATTTTAATAGCTACTATGGTTCTAGTCCTGAGTCAGCATCTTCAATGAACAGAAAGGAGGAGGTACGACTTCTTCAACTCTTCATGCAATTAGCTTCTAGTCTGAATGGTTTTGTTTCTTAGATAAATTGACTTGTTTGCATGACGTGGCAACCCATCATGGGTAACTTGCAATGGTGGGTTGTCCTGTCATCTGACCCTAGACCACTTTCTACAGGGAGGCTTTATTTATTCGTCTATTTAATAAGCCTCTCTGAGAAATCCATGGCTGTTCTTGGGTTGTTTTACCCACGATGGATATTATGGGGAAAGAGAGCGGTACAGTAATCTTCAGTGTTTATTTGAAAACTATTGCCTGTAGGCTGTCTTAGTCGAAATGTAATGTGTAAAGACAATTGCAATTGTGGTTTTCCAGCCAAGCAAAACATTATATATAACATTTTTTCCCCTTAGGTATGCCTTACATTTTGTTATACAAAGTGGAATTTCCTACTATATCATGATCATTATAGGAGTGGAAAATATGCACAAGTAAGTATGCACCCTCGAAATGAAATATAAAAGGCAATGTAATTTTTAAGTAGGTAGAGCATAAGAACAAATTGGTATGTGATATGAAAGCAAACATTACTTTCCTGGCACATCTTACAACTTTTATATTGAGCATAATAAATTATTTGGTTAGCTTATAGCTCATAGATCCCCTTGAAAAGACTTTGTTTATGTGTAATAATTTGCTCTTGTCTGTTACTTAAAGTGCCAAAAGCTTGTTGCACCGACTGTTTACAAAAACGCCATGGCAGGGAGCAGCTAGAATGCTGCGATTGTCAGTAAATAACAGTTCACATGTTTTCATCATTTCCTCATCAGTGATCTGATTTGAACATTTGTAATATATCTGAGTGCAAAGTTCTGTCACTGGTGAGAGTGTAAAGAAAATAATGGTCCATTTCCCCTTTGTAAAGAAATACAAAAAACGACATTGTTTTATTATTGTGTAAGCAAAGCCTGCAAGGTTTTGATTTACTTGGGTTCCTTTTATCTATGCTGGTCTCTCCTGCCTTCTTGTTCTAACGCACTGTAATATCTCTTAACATGGGTGGCATATACTGCATATATTCTTGTAAGCTTAGGGCAGGTCAATTGAAATTAATGGGACCTAAATTAGTCATGATTTTAATGAGTCTCCACTAAGTATGACTAAGTCTGGATCCAATTCATTATATTAAGGCATTTTTGAATACAAGGCAGTGCAAAAGTCAACAGTATGTGGCTTAAATATTTTTGCTGTGCTACACTTTCATATTGCCATTTCAGTCCTCTATTTTGTATATTCTTTGCATATTTTCTTGCAGCCTGGAATAAGCAGGACATCACCATGTGGATAGTACAATAAAATACTATCCAGGGCTTTATCATACTGGTGGCTTAATTATGCTCTGTTCTTGCAAAAGTTTCCACTTCTTTACTAAAAGCTGCATCTCATGCTAGGCAAGTGAGAAGGGGCATAGGAACTGGCTGACTTTAACAGGATTTGCTGAAGAAAAATCACATTGATATTGGGAGGGCTGGACATCTCCAGCCTTTGGGATATAGTAATGGTATTTATTGGGACAATTTTTAGCACCTTGGATAAACTTAATTTGCCTCGTCTAAGGCCAGCAATTTAGTTAGATTTCAGTATCAATATTATGCAGAAGATTGCAGTAGATTGTATATTGCTGGAACAGGCATCCAAAGAAAGAATTTTGGTAGTATGGAAAAATAATAATGCTGTGCTGTAAACTACTGCATATGGAAAATCTAGGCTGTGATAGGAACAAGCTCATGCATGTAGTCAAATAAAGTGACTTCTGTACAACAGCTACCACATGTATAAAAAATTCTCAATTGAAGGGTTGAAAATTTCTGTTTTAAAATTTAGGTTTTTGTGACATAGCACTGTCATCCATGCATGGTATCTTTGTTATTCTGAAATAAACTTCTATCCAAGGTTTATCAGGTTCTTTCTTTGCTAGCCTGTAAGAAAGATTTGATGACCCACTTGTTGCCTTGAATTGTATTTTTGGGCAGCAGATTTTACTTGCTGTGTTTAATTGATTTTTATTTTTAAATTACATAATTTTATTATGCATGCTGCCTTGGAAGTCTCCCATCCTTACAGATAGCTTTAAAATACTTTTTTTTAAATCAATAATTCCATTTGAGATAATCCTGGGAAGTTTTTCTCCTTTCTGCCAAGCTACTAATATAGGAAATCTCGTAACACAGCTGTGGTTCTTTGTGGTGAAAATATAAAACCTTATTTTAGAAAGTGTCCTTATATATTATTTGGCAATGTTTATGAATTGCTTATGTTAAAAGAAATGTCTGTGCAATGTACAAAGCAATGTAGATAAGCGTTACCCCCTGTCTGATTTGTACTGGTTGGAGGCTCCAGAGAGAGAGCTCTGTGATACTAAAGACCTCCTTCTGAACCTCATGGGCACAACCTCTGAAATCCTGGGCACTATCAGAACAGTAATAGTACCTGAAATACCATTCCCATCCACATAAATAGGCCTCCTTCCTTCTTTTCAGGCCTTTCTCTTGCCACCATAATTTTTGGAAAATAAAAGCTGACAAGACTGATATTGCTCTTAGCAAGAGTTGAGAACTGCTTCTCCGATAAGCCGAGAGAGGGTTGAAATTACTCTCTCCCATCATTAAATTGTTCTTTAAGAGATGATATCATAATGGAATTCATGCCAAACTGAGCCTTCCAAGAGGTCCAAGTGCAAGTCTAGTTTCTTTTTCAGTTTTGCTGAATGGGAACTGGCTGTGACCCACAGAGTCCGCATACATACCTGGGGAGTGGGTGGTGCATACATTGAGGAAGGAGGAAAATGGCCTTGTGATATCCATCTCCCCTTACTTTTTAAATGCCTACAGCAATGGCTGCAAAATGATTGGCAGCACACGCATCTATAATGTGACGATAGTTGATGTAAGCCTGGTGCAATTAACTGGCTTTTTTTTTTTTTTTTTTTTTTGAGGTTGGCTCCCTTCCTGCAGATTTGATGTTCATGCTTCAGTTTGATCTTGATTTATAGAAATATATCTCCTTTGGCCATTTTCTGGCAAAGTTTAGATATATTGAAAACACAAAGGAAAAGTGACGTTTGACTTGTGAAAGTAAATGTTCTATGATGTTTGTTATGACTTTATGGTATTTTATTGTATTTTTTGTCTGTTTCTATTGACTATTGTAAACTGCCCAGGGAGATTTGGCTGTGAGGCAGTATAGAATGAAATAAATAATAATAAATAATATGGTATAGTCAAGACTGCTGTAGAGCCTATTCCAAGAAATAAGCAACAGCTCTTAAAAGTTCCTTCTTGTTCTGTTCAGAATCTCAAAAGTAAAATGTGGATTTTCTGTGCTTCTGGGCAAAGTACTTAAAAGCACAATTCTTTGCATGTTTAGACAGTAAAAAGGTGTACAACTCCCAGCATTCTCCAGCTAGCCATGAGGAATGCTGGGATTTATAAAACTTATTTCTATCTAAACATGTATAGGATTGCACCATTAGGACCTTTTGCTGCAGGATTAGGAAAAATAACTAACAATAACAAAAAAGCAGAAAACAATGCAGTAGGTTTAGAGATGTGAAGGCCTGAAAAAAAGCTCATTTTTTTCAGAAGGCCATTTTTCTCCCCCAAAATGTGAACAGCTTTGAATTTCAGAACGATGACTAAATATTTCAGAAAAGGTTGTTTATGTATTGTTATTCAGCATGTATCCCTCTCACACTCAATTATTTCTAAAAATCATGTAATAATACTTTTATAGAAAGATGAGGGATAAACACTTTCTGGAAAAATTAAGTCATGGGGCAAAATGTTTTTTAAGTTCTCTCTGTTAGATTACAGATATAGTTATTCTTACATTCCCTGTTAAAAATCATTAATACACTTTATCTGTTACTTATGGACATTTAGGGATACTTTAACTCATGTTCAGTTTCCCAGCTTGTGAGTAAAGTTACCACATCCTAATATGGAAGAAAACATACATTCTTGAATTTTGTTCTGTAGATTCTAGTTCATGGATGTAAATGCCTCCATTTTTAACAGAATTCCCAATTAAATATTACATCTAGGGAATTCTGCTTTAGCTATAAAACCTTTAACTATTGCCACTGGAATAAACCTTGTATCTAAAAGAAACTCATTACTCTGCTTTAAGCAACAAATGAATCTAGGTTTTTTTAAGAGCCCTAAAAAAAATGTATTATATGTTTTCCAATTTCTCTCCAAGTGTCCATTCCCATCAAACCCCTGGAAATACCCCCCTCAAGTGTGTGGCTCCCCCCCCCCCTCCTCTGCTTCTTAAAGCACATCAAATGACAGGTAGATGATGGATTTACATTCTTAAACTCACAGGTGGCTTCATTTTGTAGCCAGGTTTTATATCACATTTCTTATCACTGTTGATGGTATTAGCATACAGTAAAGTGGGTAGGAAATGATTACAGGATATGATTCTTTGCAACAAAACATTTATTTTTGAGATAATGTGTGGATCCTGTGCATCAAATCAGGAATGGCTTTTATCTTCATTCAGTTAATTACTAACATGTATTACCTGGCTCAGAAAGAACTCAGTTGGGGAGGATGAACCAATTCAGTTGCGACCAATTCTGTTTCCTCTTGGGAAGGCAAGTAAGCAGTAACAAGGAATTGTTTCTGAGTGGGAAGGCTTAAACTAACATAATGATTGTGGATTTCTCAAAAGAGGATTGTGAGTTATCAAAGAGATGCCTTTTAGTACGCAAGCCCATGGGAGTCCTGTTTATGTAAAATTTGTTAATGGCTCCTCTTAAAAACAGTGGGTTAGATTTGGACTTAGAACTAACTTAAGTCTCATTGACTTAAATATGACTAACTTGTTGATTTCATTGGGTCTTTTTTAAAGGAAAAGTCAGGACCTAACTCTTATTACAGCTTTACATGAAATACTTTAAAATAAATGCTGCTGCTTTTTCCTGCCCAAATTTTGTTTTTCACTTTATTATTTTTGAACGATTGCTTCTTATGTAGAACATATGCACTCTCTGGAAAATTAGTTGCTCATAGATTTTACCCTGTCTCATGGAGTGATCATACACATAATTTGCTGGACTAGCTAGCTAAAAATGTCTTATAGAAAGATTTTTATTTGAATATGCTAATAATATTATTTTATTAAATATGACTGACCTTGCTAATTTCCACTGTACCCTAGTCACTCACATTCTTTTTGTATAATTGCCTTCTGTTCAGCTGTCTTGTCAGTCTGGTTTCAGATTTTTAAAAAATTGACAAGGCTGAGCAGGTTCTCCATTTCTATATTAAACTATTCTCTTTGACCTTCATCCACCATCAACATCGTTTGAGGATAAACAGTGATCCAAGACTGTGATCCAATAAGTTGCTTATTTTTGAAAACTTAACAGAATATGCAATCAATGCCTTGACAATTTCATTTCCGTTACCATTTTCCATAAAGA